GACCTGTGAGCCCTAGTGCAGTAGCTCATGAGCACCGCAGCTGACCTTCCTGTCTCTGCTTGGGTGCATGGACCCTGCTTCTTAGGGTTGTCCGCACCCACTTGCTTCAGAAGAGGAGCTCCCTTGGGATTGCTCGTCATTTGTTTACCTGGCATATTTTTTCGGTGTATTGCTGGAGACTCTGCTTTGTTGACCTCTTGGCTGTTTCGGCTGTTCTCCCAGCTCAATCATAATGTACTTGACCTCGTCACGCAGCCATGGGTGGGGACATGCCGCCTTCCAGTTCTTACATCTAACATGGCCTGTATTATCATTACTTCAGTTACCACTGTGCACAGAGTTCATATTAGTTGATTAATTAATCTTACCCATGGCTTAGTGGGCCGAGCTCAGGCTTTAAGGTCATCTTTCTGAGCTTAGATCTTCAGATGACCACTTCCTAGGTCTATGGAGTGGCCAAGTTATTTAGAATCTGTTGGCCTTAACTTCCTTATCTTTAAAATGAGGATATTAGTAGAATCTTCTAGTGGTGTTATTGTGAGGATTAGATGAATTAATATGTTCAGACGATATAGACTGATGTCTTATACACATTAAGATATCAAACCTTGGTTATGATAGTGATGGTTGGGGCTCAGTACAATGACCTTGAAATTGCTCCTGAAGGAGTTGGGTTTCTTAATCATTCATATACAGAGAGATATAGATGTGAAATTGCTTAAGAGGTTTGGTGTAACCTTTGCTGCAGTTAAATGCTTCCTGGCTTTATAAAGTAGAAACTAGATGACGAAGGTGGCCAACATTTATTGTGCATTTACTACATACCAGGCTTGTCCCGAGCATCCTCTGATTTATTCCTCATATTCCATTTTACAGTTGAAGGAATTGCAATTCCAAAAGCTTGGAGCTGGGTTTGTACCCAAACTTCCCAATTATCGTCACATTGAATGACCTTCTCTGCAACCATTGACGGTTTCTTCTCAAGAGGAAGCCTGGGAACTAGGAACTGAAGGGCTTCTCCTGGCATCTCTTGTGCCTGACATCTCTGGTGTTCAGAATTTTCATCTGTAAACCAAAGATGACAGCTGCTTCACAGATTGTTGTGTGAGACAGAAAACAAAATAAAATATGTAACAAAGCGAGCCTAGGTATGTACTTGAAGAATTGCTGCCTAGCTTGGTCTGGGCAGCCAAAAGTTATGAAGATTCTGTTTTATGTACAGTAGTCCCCTTATCCCTGGGGGACATGGTCCAAGACCCCCAGTGGATGCCTGAAACCAAAGCTAGTACCAAACCCTATACATGCTGTGTTTTCTCCTGTGTGCCCTGTCCCCTGCCACTTAGAACCTAGCTAATGTGTCCTTCTGTGATTTATAACCTGATGCCTCTTTTGCATCAGTTCTTATTCAGGCTGGGGCTGTTACTAAGTAGAGCAAGGCTTTCGCGCACACAGTTACTGAGGTACCACAACAGTTGACCTGATAACCAAGATGGCCACTAACTGGCTGAGGGGCAGGTAAATAGCTTATGGTGTGGATGTGGCTGGCAAAGAGGTGATTTAGATTCTGGGCTGGCCAGCACAAGAAGGTGTGAGATTCCATGTGTGCACCAGTTAAAACGTATGGATTGTTTATTTCAGGAATTTTCCATTTAAATTTTCAGATTGTGGTTGGCTGCGGGTAACTGAAGTATGACAAAGTGAAACTATGTATAATGTACAGGGAACCACTACATCTAGAAGTATGGGCAGCTCATTCTGAGGTCTGGCTATAGTTCTTCTCCCTGGAATCTGAGCTCAGTCACTTAACCAGTGTGATTTGGGGATAAGTTTTGGTCTCCACCGGATGTACTGTGGTCTTATAAGTCTTATTAATTGAGGTGCTGCAATATAGTCCTTCAGGGGACTACCCTAACAGATTTTAGTTCTTTCTGATAGTTTTTGAGATATATTAATATCTCTCGGCATTTCTAATAGAGCATTTTGTGTTTGTTTTCTCCCAAGACACAGAAATTCTTTTTGAGGAGGTTGGTTATTGCTGCTGCTACTGTAGCTGGTGTGTGTGTGTGTGTGTGTGTGTGTGTGTGTGTGTGTGTGTGTG